TCTATAATATAATGTTCTATGAAGAACAACCATAGCATGTGGTCCAATACGACGAGATTTCTTATTAGTTGGGGAAAATTGTTTGGCACATTAATTTCTGCAATGAATTGAAGGTCAATGCTTCTATTCTTATATTAGTAAGTATCATAGACTCACTTTATATCCTATCTTTTTCATTCAATACGCATTACTATGAATTATTTTTAAGGAGAAGATAGAAATTTGAATACAAAATTATTTTGAATTATATTTTAGTATGAATGAAATCATTTATATTTGTAACTAAATTGTTTATATTATATCTTCGTAATCTTTAAAATATGTAAGTTAACTAAGTTTCAAATATTTTTATTTTATTTTATTTTATATTATGTTATTTTTTCAATATTTAAATTAAAAAACAAAAAAAATGTAATCTATAATAAGAGAACTCTAGTTGTAGAAGAATCTGTCCATGTGGTATTTGAAGAGTCTAATAAACAAGAGACAAGGCAAACTGAAATTGAAGATTTAAATGAGTTGCTTGATCAATCCCTATTGGAGAATGAACCAAATGAAGTGTCTAAGGAGAGTGAATCACATGAGAAAGCAAGGGAAACATGTGAACAATTGCCCAAAGAGTGGAAGACTTCTAGAGACTTATCAATAGATAACATAATTGGAAATATTGGTAAGGGAGTTTCAACTAGGAGTGCTATTAAAAATATTTGCAACACTATGGCATTTGTGTCACAAGTTGAACCTAAGAGCATTGATGAAGCACTAAAAGATGAGCATTGGTTAATGGCCATGCAAGAGGAACTAAATCAGTTTGAAAGAAATGAAGTATGGGATTTAGTGCCATTACCAAAAGATCCTCAAGTCTCCCACTTGAGATTTCCACTATTCTTGTAAACCTTACAAGACTTGAATCCTCCAACACCTGGAACTCCCTTTCCTTGTGTTGAGATTCAAAAACCAACAAGGAGAAAAACCCTTTCTCCTTCATAGATCCAATGATCAATTTGGAATTACAAAATAACTCTCTTTTAAGAGTAGATATACACTTTTATGATCTTGATGAACTCTTTTAGAATAATACAAATGAAGTTGGCCAAGATGTTTTTGTATATGACTTTTTCATAATAGAGTTCGTAACCTTTCTCTGAAAAATTATAGGTATTTATAGACAATTATTTCTTAGGTTATGTCTTTTCATGAAGAGTTGTAACTCTTTATAATTTTTCAGAAAATAGGCTCTGGTAATCGATTACAAGACTTGGTAATCGATTACAACGGTTTAAGTTCAAAATGTTTGAAACGTTATATCATTTAAATTAAAATTTTAAAGTTTCATCTTCTGGTGATCGATTACAAGGTCTAGTAATCGATTACTAGAACATATTTTGTATTCAGAATTTGAACTTTGAAGTTCTTGTTCTGGTAATGGATTACAAGGTCTGGTAATGGATTACTAGAACATATTTTTTTATTGTTTCAAAAACTTTTATGTAGAAAACTTCATCTCAATAATTTCTTTCACAAATCTCTTTTAAGAAATGATTTGAACTATTCTTTAAAGATTTTGTTAAGTCTTTTGAAAACATTTTTACTTATTTTCAAAAGATTTAAAACTTGTTTAAATTTAAAGAGATTAATTTGATATTTTTGAAAACTTATTCTTAAGGCCAAGCATACTTGCAATTCTAAAAGATTCTTTTACATTGTTAGCTAAGTTGACAAGACTTATCTATGTAACACTTGAGATCTTGTTCTTGCATCAACTTGCTTTAACTCAACCTTGATTCTTCTACAATGCTTTGACATCATCAATTCTTTAATGCTTTGGCATCATCAAAACTTTGTGCATATGTTCTTCCACATATATATTATAACAATGTAAATAAACTAAAGAATAAAATTTTCAACGTTGGTAAAAGGGTCCACATAAAACCTTCATAATTGTTCTTCAATAACCAAAATAATTGAAAATAAAACTTGGAAAGTAAAACTTAAGAGTTTACAAATTGTTTTCAAAAGAAAAGGTACAACTCCAAATACATATAAAAATTTATATCCTAGAATCCTCTGTCCTGATGTCACAATACCAGAGCATACCCACAATTCAATTGTTAGCATTCTAGATGCCACCCAAAGTTGGATCTTCCTCACCTAAAACATCCACAAATTATATGGTGAGAAAAGAAAACATCTGTATGTAAAGCACATACAAACACACCACAATGTAATCTCATCATAACTCATTACATAATGAAATATTTACAATCATTTCTGCATATCATAATTCTATCAATCATGCATCAACTTTACAACACAATTTCACAATCACACCAATCCATCACAAATCTTGCAATTAACACTATCATTTTCACATTCATAATCCACACAAATCTTACAATTAACATTATGCCAAGGCCACACGCCACATCTGACATAAGTGATACGAGTTAATTGCCTCACTCATCCCACACTATGCTAAGGTCACGTCGTCCTTGTAGCATCACTTACCCAAGGGTCGTGCCATCCCTGGTCATTAGTGTGAGGAACCACAATCACATCACAATCAACATTCATTAAACATCCCATCTCATAACTCAAATTCCATATCACATACAAATAAGTCTACACAATACAATGATTCACATACCCTTCAAGCAATTCACCATGAATACTCATCTATAACAATAATATAACAATAATATTTATAAACTAATATAAAACTCAATTAATTCACCAATTTAATACAATATTAAATCAAATAATAAAACTCCCAATTTTTCCAAAACCTAACTCACAGGCACTTTTCTACAATTTTGTTCTCTCTCCTAAATCATCATTTTCACAAATTAAATATATATTTCTAATCCTCAATACATGTAAAATCTAATGGGATCATCAATTCCTCAAACAGAAATAATTCTTTTACCGAAATTGAAAATTGTTTTTGTTAAGTTTTCATTGTTATATGTGTTGGGGTAGTAAGGGTGTCACAATTGATAAATGTTTTAAAATGATGTTGTTTCTCGGATTTTAATATATATTTTAAATAGAAAAAAAGTCTCAACCATAGTTAAGATAGGATAATCCATATACATTAAAATAATAATTTAAGATCTATATTGTAAAAGTTAAATATTTATTATATAATATATAATTATAATTATAATAAATTATATATATATATAATATTTAAATATATAAATCATATTGAAAATTTATATAAATAAAGAGAAGGATAGTATAATATATAAATTATATTTTATGGGAGGAGAGTATGATTTACTTTTATTATATTTTTAATAAAGAAATTTGTTTTCCTAAACTCACTAAGACCTAGTCAACATATCATGATAATGAGATAAAAATTACTTTTATGAGACCAAAGTCAAAATGATAAAATGTAATTAATTCTCAAAAGACCAAATCATTTTTATGAGACTAAGTCAAAATGATAAAATGCAATCAATTTTTAAAAGATCAAGTCAAAATATAAGATAAGATTTGTCTAAGAGATCAAGTCAACAAGATTAAATTAATTAAAATATTTATTTAATAAAATTAAATTAAATTAAAACAATTTCATAAAATATAATTAAATAATCATACTAATTTTTTTTCTTTCAAATATCACTCAAATATACAGCACATTGAACTAAATGAATCAAGAGACTCATGTTATAAACATAATGAAGGAAAACCTATGAGCCATTAGATAAGTATAATCTATCTATCTTATCATTCTTGCATCTTGAATTGTATGTCCGTACTAGTGAGAAACACTTCTCTTTCTTTCTTTTATATTCGTGGTATCAAAGAAAAAAGTAATTAAGATAATCAAATTCAATTAGAGACAACTTTGCCTCTTTATCATTTAAAATAATATTAACAATCAAGAATGTCATTTGACCAAGAAAGTATAACAATCATAAAAGAAACTCCTTCAATGCCTAAAAAAATGTGAGAGGCACAAGAGTTTCTTTTATGTTTGTTATGCTTTCTTAATCGAATGACATTCTTGACTTTTGATATTAGTTTTAATGATCAATAAGTAAAGATGTCTTAAATTTGATTATCTTGATTAGTTTTTCCTTCGATACCATAAGTGCAAAAGAAAGAAAAAGAAGTATTTCTAATTAGCACGAACTTACATTTCAAGATGCAAGAATAAATAGATAGATTATGCTTATTTGATGACTCATGAATTTTCTTTTATTATGTCTTTAGCATAAAATGTAATGTTTGTCTATAACATCTTTTTTAGATGATTATCACAACAATAACTAATTAATATATTATTTTTAGTTTGAACTAAGAGACTCTTGTGCCTTTATGTTATATAAATTGATATATAAATTTTGATCTACTGTCTTTAATTTTTTCTGTATTAAATTTTGATCTACTATCAATAATCTTTGTTATCTCTAACATATAAATTGCTATATCATTGATTTTCTATATTAAATTTTGGTCTCCTATCAATAGTCTTTGTTCTCTCTTTTGTTTCTTGTTTAGCATATTTCCAATAAATTATCATATATTTAACATTTATAAATATTTAATTGTGGTAGTTATTTATTCTTGTTGAACTCAATATTATTATATATATTTTTTTATCCATTCAATACCAATGAATTTCATAATAGGTACCAAAATACACACTCAAATTTTATTCAGAAGAAAAAATCAAAGAATAATTTAAGTAAGAGTGCGGACAAAAAAAGTGTCACAATAATGTATGAAATTCCATCATTTCTTAGATTTAAACCTTTATATTTTTCGTTAATTACTTATACACTGTCGAGATAATTTTTTTTTACACTAACAATTAATTATATCTTTTAATTATATTATGTTACTGTTAAAAATAAATGTGTTTACAGTAACATGACACAAATAAAAGTTATAATTAATTATCAATGTAAATTTTACTTTGATGGTGTATAGATGTTTAATCAACAAAATTAACAAACAATCATAAATAAAAAAAATAAATGTTGAAATTCCTTCTCTCTAGATCCCTACAAAGTGTGTTCCCCTTCACAGTTTGAGTAGAACCCATGGCTGCCACATACCTGGAAGGAGAGGCAGTGAAGGAAACGAGAGCGTTGATATCAGAACTTTGTCGCCACTTCTATTCCCTTGGATGGGTCTCTGGAACTGGTGGCAGCATCACCATCAAAGTCCATGATCCCTCCATTCCCAAACCCCACCAACTCATTCTCATGTCCCCTTCAGGTCCTTTCCTTTCCTCTCTTACCCTCTTATCAAAAACTTTCCTTTTTCATTTTTTTCCACTTCTATGCCCCTGTCATGTGCTAACTCACTTTTTACTTATTGTTTGCATTCATCATTTTGTATCCTTTTTGTTTTTTAAGATTAAATAGTGTATCCAACGAAAGCAATAATGTCATCCAATCATAAACTGTGTTGTCTGATAAGTTTGTCATACCAATTATTGATTCTGACTGATTTGCTGATTTTACACACGTGTTTTTAACAATGTAAGTATATTATTTCAATAATCAATTTATTTTTTGTTTAAGAAAAAATAAAGTTTCTAAAATTTTTAGTTATTGTTCCAAAACATACAACTTATTTTTGGCGAAAAAGAAAGAAGTTCTTTAAGAAAACAGCTGAAATGTTGATAATTAAGCTTTCACAAACATGCTATGAGAGTGCATAGAATTTAAACCTTTTTTTTTTATGATAATAAAATGAATAAATAAAATGTGCAGGTGTTCAGAAGGAAAGAATGGAGCCAGAGGACATGTATGTGTTATCCCACAATGGAACAGTCTTGTCTGCACCATCTCCCAAACCGTACCCTCAAAAACCTCCCAAGTGCTCTGATTGTGGTCCACTTTTCATGAAGGTGAGGTTAGTTGATGCTGTGCTGTATGGTTAGTGTAAAATGATGCAATTTCCTACTATTGTTTTCATGTACAATTTGAATTGTGGTATGCTTTTAGAAAATTTTATGAATGTCACCACATCTTTGGAATCAGTAGGTGATGTTGATCATGTTAGTGTAGTAGAAAAGGGTTCTAGATTCCTGCCATTTATAATTATAAGTATGCATTCTGTTGATAAATGCTTCAATGTTCTAATCTAACCTCTCTGTATGCTTTCATTTCCTAATGAATATATTTATACTTATATTAATTTGATAGTTGAATAGTTTGGTTGTGAATTTTTCATTGGAAAGCTATTTTTGGTAAAATCTACAATAGGCTGACTAGCATCAGAAGTTTAGAAGATATTTTCCTGATTGTGTTTGAAAGTAATGTGCATTTCCCTTTCTACTCCAGGCATATGAAATGTGTGATGCTGGGGCGGTTATCCACAGTCATGGAATAGAATCTTGTCTTGTAACAATGCTCAATCCTTTAGCAAAGGAATTTCGAGTAAGTATTTATACATGGATGCTTTGAAGTTTTGTAAACTTATGGTGTTCTAAGATTAGAGATTCGAATTCAAAATTATAATACGTAATTATTTGTAACCTTTTGATCTTTAAATTTGGTATGGAACTGGTAATAGAATGTGAATACAAATCACATAAAATTGTCACATTACTAGGATATATGAATTTCTGGAGTGCTCAATTCTGGTTGGGCAGCAGAAATCTCGCAACAAAATGCTCCTTAAACTGTAATTATAATTAAACTACCAGGTGGGGATCACTGATGAGGTAATATATAGTGCTAAATGCCTATCCATTTTTGTACAATTCAAATTCACTCTTGAAATGCATTTACTTATTTGAATTTTTAATTTTGTGCATTTCCTTAAGACGAGTTCCCAAATAATCCCTTTAGCTTATTTATCAGAATTGGATGATAGGACAAGCCATTTTATACCCGAGAGGGAGAGCAAATTGTGAGTGTCGCATATTTGATTTTTGTCTCGAGAGTAGCCACCAGACTATATGTAGGTCTCACGAATCTGGCAATAACGAAATTTTAAATGGTTTCCTCCCACCTCCTGTTGTATAACCATCACACTTGATCAACCATGTGTGTTTGGACATAGCTTTCTTGTTCGTGGGTAATAATCTCCTTTATTTTTTCAAAAACTCTGTTTGAAAGCTGACAAAAATAAGATATTATTCTTCCAAAATTAGTTAAACCAAACATGTACTAATCACATTTGCTTCACAAATTAAATTGTATGCTATGTACTTATGATTGATTTTATATAGCTGATCTCATTGGGAGAGAATAACATCAGAGGAGCTTTCATGAGACATTCTGGTTGATGCTATTCGAGGAGCCCTTCTACCCGGAGTTTAAAAGTTCATTGGTATTTCTGGTAGTGAAAATTATAATGTTAGGGTCATCCTGAATATAGAGAAAGAATTGATCCAAAATGCAATAACTTGGAGTGTTATATTTTCTACTAACAAATAATTTGAATGTGGACAAACTCTTGTTTTGAAAATTGAAGATTTCAATTTTCTTGTTTGAGGGCAGATAGGAAATGGAAAAAGCACCTGGCATCTTTTTTTTAATCTGTTTTTTTAGGGTTTTATTCCTCCTTTTTGATCAAGGTCAGGACTGTGGTTTTTATATGTTGTTATAACTTATTATATATTGCTCTAAGAATGGCAAACGTACTTTTGAACTAGTTGTAGTAATTGTGATTTGTTTGCTTGAATTGTGTGTTTCAGTAGTTTATTTTTCCTTTAGTTATTTTGATTTGATTTTGGTTAGTGGTTACCATCACAAATTGCAGATTACTCACATGGAAATGATAAAAGGAATCAAGGGGCATGGTTATTATGATGAACTTGTGGTCCCCATTATAGAGAACACAGCCTACGAATATGAGCTCACAGAATCTCTAGCTAAAGCTGTATGTTTTATTCTGAAAATTATTCCAACTTTCTGATTATATATGAATTACATCATGATTCTGGATTCACATATTCATTTGTTTTTTTACATTTGTGTGATAGTTTTCTTCACATATAGCATAAACGTGTAGGTTGGGATCCCCTGAAGGTTACATTATACATAGTCCACATGATGCATTATTTTTCTCTCTTATCTACTTTTTTAATTACAAACGATCTACCTTAATTATTCTTTTTTCCAATTCATAGATTGAAGCCTACCCTAAAACTACTGCTGTACTTGTACGCAACCATGGAATATATGTTTGGGGAGACTCATGGATCAGTGCTAAAACTCAGGTTTGTGTAACTTGTGCTGTCCACATGAAAAGATTGGAATCACATAAAAAAAATTATGTTTATTTAAACTTTCTGCTTACAAGTTCCAGAACGTATAAAATTCCTGATGAAAATGTAAAGCTTTTTATGTCTTTGGGATATTTGTTTATACATTATCATGCTTTCTTGTAAATGGGTGGTTCTGTTCCAGGCTGAGTGTTATCATTACCTCTTTGAAGCTGCTATCAAACTTCACCAACTAGGATTGGACTGGTCTACTCCAAATCATGGCCCAATACATAGTATTAGAAGTCTAAGGTTTGCTGGGGAGTCAAATGCGTCGGATAAGACAAGGAAGGCTAATGGTGAAATTAATCCATTTCCAGTGAGATGATGTTCTCTATTTATTTAAACTTTATACCTCTAAACTTTTCAGTAGTATCATTCCTTTAAATTCCTTAAACAAAATCCTTTATGCTCAGTTGACTGGTTAGACATCAGTTGTCTTTCCATGTAGTTTCAGATTCAATAATTGATTATTTTCTCCGTTTGTATTGCAGTGTTGCATTGTTCTTGACATTGAAGGAACTACTACTCCCATATCATTTGTTACGGAAGTTCTCTTCCCATATGCACGTCAAAATGTTGGGAGGCATCTATCTGTGACGTATGAAACTCCTGATACCCAAGCTGATATCAAGTTGCTTCGCCAACAAGTAAGATTCTTATAGAGTTGTTATGGTTAATTGATTATGCTATTTAGACCTATGGAATGGAAACCTGTGCTGAGGGACTACATGTTCTGCACACTATTATTAGAAACACATACATACTATGAATTTGTAGTTTGTCATGTTTATTCGATTCAATTTTTCTTCAAATGGTCACACTTCATTTTATTTTGGTATTTTTGTACAAGTTAGTTTGTAACTTGCATTCAATGATTTTGGATCACTTGACTTCCTTACTCTGTGACCATAGGTTCAAAGCGACCTTGAACAAGGGATTGCAGGTGCTGTGCCTGTTCCCCCTGATGATTCTGGGAAAGAAGAAGTAATTGCTGCACTAGTAACTAATGTAGAAGCTATGATTAAAGCAGATAGAAAGATCACTGCCTTGAAAGAGTTGCAGGTAATTAAAAATAATTTAGCAAAACTCTTCTCTTTATTTAATTTAAATTTGAAAGATTTAGCTATGCAGGGTCACATGTGGCGCACCGGTTACGAGAATAATGAATTGAAGGGAGTAGTTTTTGATGATGTGCCAGAAGCTCTAGAAAAGTGGCATGCCTTGGGCAAAAAGGTTGCAGTTGCAATTTCATTTTCATAGCTGTGCCGTTCTTTCTGTCCCATATTGCTAACTATTTTCCATTTCTATTCTCTCCTTCTTTATTACATTTCCATTTCTGTCTCGTTTAACTGCAAAAATTTTACAACTACCCTCTACTGAAATTTGATGGTAGGGCAACTTTTATTCCTGTTGACCTAAAAGGCACCAACAGGGAGAGTAAATTACATGATTTTTAGTGTTGTGAGATTTATGGAAATTATTAAAAGAAATCAATGTGAATAGTATCTTTGAGAATTTAGTTTTTAACTGAGTCTGATAGCGTTGTGTGATCACCAAAGCTCCCTTAGAGAGATAAAACTATTGTGTTGTTCCATTAGACAAGAATGGAAAAGGAACAAATATAGCGATCACATTTTGGGTGTTTATTATCTGATATCTGGAAGACATGTTTTAATTGCATTTCTAATTGCTATTTCTAATCATTGGAACAGGTATACATATATTCTAGTGGTAGCAGGTTGGCACAAAGGCTAATATTTGGACATACAAACCATGGGGACCTAAGAAAATATTTATCTGGTTTTTTTGACACCACAGTGGGGTAATGTTTTGTTTAATCTCAATGTTGCTTCTCAACAATGCCTGTCTAAAGTTAACCTATTCCATGCAAAACTTCTTTTGCAGGAACAAAAGAGAGACACGCAGTTATGTTGAAATTTCTGAGTCTCTTGGTGTTGATAAGCCATCAGATATTTTATTTGTCACTGATGTTTATCAAGAAGCTACAGCTGCTAAGGCAGCAGGTATGTGCCTTTCAACCTGATATGCTGATATAACCAAATACTGATATTGTAGCTGCTTCGGAAGCTATTTAATTTCTTATACAAACTCTTCCTAATCATCTTTCCTTGGTGCTTTTTGGAAGCCAGAACTTCAATTTGGCATTACTTGAGTCAATTTTTTCCCCTAAAATAATCATATATGTCAAACTAAAACCAGCATTAAACTTTGTTGAAGGTGCAATACAATGAACTATAGTCGGTTTCATGCCGAATTCTTAGATTTTGTTTTTCTGTTTTTACTTCTGAATATTATTTTTTATTTCAATAGGAAAATAATTGTATCAAAATCCTCAATTTGACAACTGGGGAAGCTTTTCAGTATAGATATAAATTCATACTGCTTGTTTTGTTAAACACGATTGTTTAGCAAGTTTTTCTTCGTGGATCATTAACCCAGAATATCTGCCATGATTTTTTTTTATTGATTGGTTACTTACTGTTAACTTTTGAAGTTTTGGGTCTGTTTTAATAAATTTTTCTTTAGAAACCCTTCTAAAAGAAGAAAATAGGAACGAAAGTTGAAATAAGTTTCTCTATAAGTTAAAATTAATTTATCTATAAATTAAAAATAAGAATAAGCTAATAGAAGAGAAATTCTACAAGTTAGCTTATGCTTAAGATATTTTTAATTTATGGAGAAGTTAATTTCATTCTTTTTTTTTATTTTTATTTTTTCATATAAGTGTTTTTAAAGAAGTATATCCAAATAGGCCATTTGCACCAAAACTGTTTGTTCTTACTAGAACTACTGTTTAAAAAGCCAACATTCATATCTGTTCACATGTAAATAATTAAGAACAATAGACAGGACAGTAGCTTCCACCCCGATTGGGGAAACATGAAAAATATGAAGTTGATATCAATTTTAGCTCAGTAAATGCAATACAGCCGTTTCATGTACTTGGTACATTATTAGTACATACACCTCATCCTTGCGAGGATTTTTACTCATTGTTTGTTGATAGTACATTAGGGCCCGTTTGGACTGGATTTTAGTTTTAAGTTTAATACATTTTTTTAAAAAAACTGTAGTTTTAGTTTCTTTCTATTAAATTTTAGAAAAAACTCACTTTGAAAATTTCTTATTATATTAAAATTAGTTTAATGGTGTATTTGTGTCGTAACACTGACAATGTCAATGATAATGGTGATGATAGTAGCATTAGTGTTGGTGACGATGCCAGGAAGAATTATTGTAAAATATCATGAAAGTTTATTTTTTAAAAACTAAAATTGAAATTTATAAATCATTTTTCTTAGTTTTGAAAATGAATGTAAAGGTATTTTGAAATTCAGTTGAAACCTATTTCAGCTCTATTTTATTTTATCAAACATGTTTTGTTTTCAAAATGATATATGAAAACCAAAATCTTGCAACCACTCCAAATGGGCCCTTAATGGGTTAATGTGAAGAGTATAACGAGAACTTCTGCAACCTTTTTTGAAGATTTTAGTTGTTTTGTATGCACATTGACAATTGTTCATGTTTCAGGCTTGGAGGTGATAATTTCTATTCGACCTGGAAATGCACCTCTACCGGAAAATCACGGCTTCAAGATAATCAGTTCCTTCTCTGAGATCTGAGAGTAGATGCAGTCATTTGGGACTGTTGAATGGGAAATGATAGCTACATACATACATTGTAACTTCCATTCTGAAATGAAATATATTGCCGGATTTAACCCAAGTTGCAGTTTATCTTGCCTTGTTTTTATAATTTTGACTTGGTAAAAATCTGGGGCATGATTGATGGAAATTTGGTTTTTTTATTTTTAAATATTATTATGAAATATAATTTTTGAGAATTGATTTTTCAGAACATAATAAGAAAAAAATAAATCGTTGTATGGTAAGTATTAATTTGAAAGCAATTTGAGATGAGAAAATTTCAGAACTTGTTAAATTTATTTTTGGAATATGTTTCGAAATCATAACAAAAAAACCTACTTGTTCTTACCTGTTTTAGGCACAAATCACCTATGAAAAACAGAGTAAAAATTGCAGAGAAGAGAAAAATCATTCCTGAGAAAAGCGATAGTAAAAGTTTCTGCTTGCGGAAAAAAAAAAGCGATTTCCTTGTTTCCAGCCTTAAAAAGGGTCAAATGAAAATATGCCATTTGAGAATATATATATATATATATATAT